AAATAAATGTCTGTCTAAACACTAAATTAGTATTGTTAGTTGAAAATTTTTGAAAAGTTTGATTCACTCCCCACCAAAGCAGAATCACCAGTTTTATCTGGAACCGATTATCTTTGGTACCGTGTCTTTCTAGCTATCTTTGAAACGAACTCCCCATTTCAGCATTTCACTAAGAGTGCTATGGCATGTGTAATGAACACAGGAAAATGACATTTGAGGACAATATTTCATGGTAGATATCGGTAGTGCAGCGCATTAGAGTCTACGGGCGCCTGTTGCCATTTCTACCATGAGATGGACAGATCATCATCTGCTGAGGCAATATAAAGAATATGACGCATCTCCATTGTCCAATGACATTGCCAGGTCAAATTATCGAGCAAACTCTGACATTGCCCCTTTGTTAATATAACAATAGGCGGATATGTCCAATACAAATTAAGATTCAGTCAAACAATCAGTTCGATTCTCCCTTCTCCCCAATCAAAGTCTTTGCGTCATTTGTATTTTTAGTAAACACTCGCACATTGTTAGCAACCAAAAAATTCGTTAGCAAACGTATTAATATGTAATTAATATATTAATATATTATATCGTATGATGTCATCATAATGTTTTTTCTTAAAATTTTATAAACTAACATAGAAACTGCTTCTTTTTAAGATTACCTTTAGTTCTTTCTCTCCATCTTATCTCAAAAGGCGCTTTTGAGTTTATCCGTCATACACATATCGTATCCCTGAGATCAACGGAAAACAAAAAAACAACAATAAATTCCTTCAAACGATTGATTAAAGAGCATTATTTAAACAATTAGTTATCAATTTGTTTAATTAGTGTTAGGATGAAATATATAATTAGTATATTTTAAACGTTGTATTTATGTTACATAGGTATTTATGTAAAATAAGAAATGTATATAATTATGTATATCTAAAATGTTTATTAATTTCCGGAAATGCTTCTTGTGCATCTGGTGATTGTCTGGATTGTACTTTTGTATTCTTTTTGTATTTGTGTTTATTTTGGTGTAAATTAAGTATGCTTTCACTTTACTCTAGAAACATAACTTTATATACATTTACAAGAAACATTTCTCATGAATATGTTTATTGACAATTCTAATAATATTAATGTTGTTTAGTAACATTTCAAACTAGACACGACCTTCAGCAATGAAGAGACCGACTCAGAAGAAGAAGAAGATGTTTATTATTTCCGGTTAATTTCAAAGACTTTTTATTCGACGACTTCTGATTGCAATTTGGATTTTTTTTTATTTCATGGACAAGTTGTGCTACGATCCTCGCATTGATAAGTTACCTATATACTTGGATACTGTTAGTGCTAATTTTCATCTAAGCGATATCTTAATATAATTGCGTAACGACTCTCCCATCCTTCGAACTGATACGTCCTCTTTTTCGTACTCACAATACACTCTACTGTCAGGAAACTTTGATTCGCAAGCTATCATAGCTAGATGATATGATAGCCAGATGATATGATAGCCAGATGATATGATAGCTAGTTTGCTTCTCATTCTCCGGTGAATCCCCTAGTCGCCTTTTCGAAAAAAAAAACATCGGTAGGTACTGTAGGTACAGCCAACAAAACAACAACGGAAATCAGTGATAAAACCATTTTGATGCTAAGACGAAATCAATATGCACGAATACTTAGTACAGTGTTAGAAACTTCGCGAATTAATCACGCCATTTCAAAAGACACGTCTCGTCTCATAAATGACGAATGCTAACCAGCCATGTTTTCTAATTTCTCAGAAGTCGATGACCTAGAATATCAGAACAAGAGTGATTAGTTGATAGTTAAAGTTAAAAAAAAGTTTATATAATAACGCATCTGACGTATTGTTAAAATACTGTTACGATTTTAACTCGTGCCAATTTTACAATTAGATGGATTTACACAACTTTTAATTATTATGAATTAAAAATGTGATGATTTATTGAAGTATATGATTAAATGTTTAAATTAGTAAAAAAAAAAACACCTCACAACCTTTTACATTTTGTTCGATAAATTTAAAATAAAATATTTTCATTTTCATTACGTTAAGATACGTTTAGTACTTATTTTCAAATAGCATCTCGTTAATTACTATAACTTAAAATATAACGAAAACTTCTTATTAATTAATAAAATGTTATGTATGATAAATATTAAATAAAAATATACAAAATAATAATATAAATAAAAACTAATGTAATCAATTAAATATTTATGTACATATTTGTCTATTATAACATGGTTATAATTAATAAATAGTTTGCGGTATTATTCTATATTAACTCATAAACATCGGTTAAAGTTCAGACACGCAAGTTGGCAAGTTGTGAGAATCTCCGCTTAATATGAGTTCCCTCCGACATTGTTACAAACAAGCATTTTTCAAGTTTGCACTTAACAAGACATGCACGTACATGTGTTATTGTTTTAATATTTTTTTGTTACTGTTAGTAATCATAGATAATCTTTATTTTTTGCACTTGATTTACCGTGACGATCAGAGGAATCTAGTATTTGATGGTTGCCGGTGTCTATGGACATCACAAAGTGAATGCCGCACCCGACCTATCCTTTAAACCGGACCCCATATATTTTTTGAGGCAGCAATAGAGAGAAGGTTGATACCGTGTAGGATTAAAATGTCTAAAATATCGCTACTGACAATACTAGTTGTTAGGCAAATTGAAAAATTTTGAGGTTTTGGTTTATTTATTTATTGCTTAGATGGGTGGACGAGCTCACGGCCCACCTGGTGTTAAGTGGTTACCGGAGCCCATATACTTCTACAACGTAAATGCCGCCACCCACCTTGAGACATGAGTTCTAAGGTCTCAGTTTTAACAGTCCAACATAACAATATACTGGTGGTAGAACCTGTTGTGAGTCCGCACAGGTAGGTACCACCCCCTTGCCTATTTCTGCCGTTAAGCAGTAATGCGTTTCGGTTTGAAGAGCGGGGCAGCCGTTGTAACTATACTTGAAACCTTAGAACTTATATCTCAATGTGGGTGGCGCATTTACGCTATAGATGTCTATGGGCTCCAGTAACCACTTAACACCAGATGGGCTGTGAGCGCGTCCACCCAAATAAGCAATAAAAAAATAAAAATAAACAATAAAAATATGTTTTTAAACATATAAATAGTGTTTCTTAATCCATACTTCCATACGAATTCACATGATTGGACGTGATTTTTTTAACGCGCTAACAGTTTAAGTGGGCATATTCTAATTTTTATCCTGAAAAATATGTCAATTCCACGGGAAACTACACTGACAGTTTATCTTTGACCTAGTAGGCGAAGCTGCGGGTAACAGCTAATTCATAATTATAATAAAGTTTTGCGCTATTAACCGTAAACAATGATGACAAATTATCAATACTAGTGTTTTTATTTTTTATTTTTTTATTTATTTATTTATTTATTAAGTTGCACCAACAAAGTGATCATCAATACAAAACATTGACAAATTGACAAAAGTTCATGGCAGATGTCACCTCAATTATAGGTGCAATCGACAGTGCATTAACATCAAATACAGCTAAGATTTGAATACATTTCATTCATTGCTTAAGATTAATTTAATTGGGAGATGATCCGCGACAGATTTTTCCTGTAAGTAGTGAGACAATCAGAAAAAACATCTATTTCACTTAAAATAAGTTCAGCGCAATCGGACAACTCCGAAGGAACATTGACTCGATACGAATGCACCGGACGTCTTATCCTTTAGGCCACGACGACTTCATAGTGGTCCCGCAGTAGTCGAAATTCGACTAAAATTATAAGTTTGAACATTATTATGGTTCTATTGTCAAAGATTATATTATTATACTATCGTAATCACGGATTTCGCCAAAACTACACTATAGACAAATAATATTAAAGACAAACCATATTAATCTATTCTCAATTTGACCACAGACTTTAACAATAAATAAAAGAGTATATTGCGTGTGTGTGTCAAATACATGGTAGTTTGTGTAATGCTTTTTTTATTGATTTAATGTACTTTTTATGCATAATTAAAAAAAATATTGCATTGTGCACTCCTTCTCGACATTCTTTATAAGTGTGGAATATTCCATACTCCTCCGTCCGCGCAATTTTCGTAAAAAGGGGTACAAAGTTTTTGCTTCACGTATTAATATATAGATTATCAATAAAAATGAATTATATAAAACAATTGTTTCCAGAACTGGTTTTATTCATCTAATTCTATAATTAAGGCGACAAGCTTTTGTTGTGCAATTTAAGGCGTCGCACACCTTGAGGTGTGTGGTTAAAGTCTTGATTATGAGATGATAATAATAATAGTATTTTACTACTATGACTATCCACACTACGCGAACTATGACCGACCAGCAACAAAAACGTACACGATGGTCGTATTGAATTTTTCGACGATACAAAATGCCTTAGAATTGTTGTTTGTAGCGTTGTAAGTTGTTTATAAATTTTTACGGTTGTTTTTAATATGTTGCTCACATATTGTACTACTTCTGTGTCTAGAATCTGCATATATCCGTCTGGTGTAGTGGTAAGTGACATGGTCACTACACAAGGGGGTCGCGGGTTCGAATCCCGCCAAGGGAAGATATTTATATGATGAATATAAAATGTCTTTTCCAGGGTTATGGATTTATATTGAATATATTGTATGTTTACAATAAAAATCTTACATTTATTTCCGTTATCCGGTACCTGTAATACAAGTTCTTTACGAGCTTAGCACGGGACCATTTAACGTGGCGTGATTGTTAGTAAATATTTATTATTGTTTATTATTTATTATTATTATAATAAAAGTGAACCACGACTGATAGCGGGCTATAGTACACAAGCCGTCTTATCATTATTTCCCAAACGCTTCCCTGGATTGACTTAAATGTGATCTTAGTATCACAGTATATTTACATACATAATATAAGTACAGCACATTTATTGCTAAATGAAAGTTCGACTTACCATTGGGACACGTGAAAAGGTTTCCCTGAAAAAAAGAAGAAAACAACATTAAAATTTTAACCCATTTTACAGCAGAGATTGGAGGTGGTACAAAGATATGAAATACGCGTAAATATGATTACGATAGGCGGGGGTTTGGCTGTGCCTATGGCATTACTAACGTTAATGTAGGCGACGACTTGGCTCAGTCACTTGGCATTGCTAACGTCCATGAGCGACGGTAACCACTCACTATCAGATGGGCCGTATGCTTGTCTGCCTACAGGAGTAATAATATATATATTTTTTGCAATTTTATTAACTTAAACCTTATGCGACCATTATAATGATACGGTTTTCCATCTAACTGAATTGAGGACGAGCTCTGTTGTAGTGCATACTGCCTAAAATGGACGACTCATAAAGCATGATGGAACTACGTACCTATCAAAGGTGAAACCAATTAGTTTTCCTTTGAACTATCGACATTGTAGTTTGCAGCATCCAACGTCTTTGATTTGGGAGGCCTTTGAAAGCTATTGTCACATGTGTACTTTGAATGAGCGTTGTGCGAAAATTTCATTGTAAAACTTTCATATACAGATGTGTTTTTTTTTTTTAAATTAAATAACATAGAATGGAACCGTGAGTGTCGCCAAATAAAATATTGAACATCCGAACCTAAATAAATCGGAGCTGCGGTTCGATTCGCAGTTTTCCATTCGGAAATTGATATAGCTGACGGCATCGGAATGGCTTAACAAATCGGGGAAAGCGAATTCGAGGACAATCACCACCAGTGACCGCGCACGAAGTCTAACAGTCGATCACGGCCAAGCATTAAAAACTATTATTGAATTGCACGAAAAATAATATTATTAAAAAAGAAATGTAACTTAACTAACTAAAATTCTTTAAAGAGATTTTCAGTTTTGTACAATGTCAGTCAGTCTCACTGTATAGTGGTTTATCTTTTGGGTTTACTTTTAAGGTACTAACGAAGTAATTGAAGGCAAGATAAGAGGAGGTTAAATATTTACGTTAAAATCTATATAAATAAATAAATTAGATTTTTTTCTTAAAAAACGTTTAAATAACATACATACATTTTAAAGTAGCGTTTTATTTAAATAACCATTATCTTTTATTTGCTAATCAAACCTATCTAGTGCGATACCGTTTTCACTCTCACGGGCAACTAAAGAACAAAATTGCTAAACATCGATTTTGAATTAGCACTAAACAATTTGAATATAGTATCTGTGTCTGTTTAATGTTTGTGTATAGTAACTACTAAAGTCCAAAATACAGTAATGTTGATTCATTTTGTGTCTCAAATAGGAATGTAAGCCTCACTAAACAATTATAATTGTTTTATACGGTTTTGAAGTTATGGTATTGTGTTTAATCAATTATGAATTAACTAAAATCTTATAATGCATTTTTTGCATAATTTTAAATGATTATATTCCAAACTGTTATGTGAATTATCAATACAAGTTCTCTCCGAAATAATAAAATACTCTTGCTTACGAATCGGAACTGGATATGTAATAATCGTTCAGATACTTAGACCAATGCCGAAACTAATTTAGTTGATTCCCTAGTGTAACCATAAATTGAGTTTGTCATACATACACGATCAGTACGTGCCTATTCACCTACGTCATTGCTTTTACCAAAACCAACATATTGGAAAGTGCAAACTCACTGGCCGCAATGTTTATCAAACTACTTACAAAACTACGGAACGCTGGATACTAACTGACACTCGATAACACGAATGTCAAATCGATTCTGACAGTTCGCTTCACTGACCAAAGCGTAATCGATTATGTATAGATTAGGCAGTTTAGATTTATATAACAACTATTTTGGGGCCCTCGACGAGATTTTCTCGGTTATGTCGATAATTAGTTTAGTAATATTCATGATAGATCTACATACCTATACAAAACCGATAATAGAATAATTTTATAGTTGAGCGAAAAGCTAAGATTAACTATTTTGGGTTTGATTAAAAAAAAGTTACTGTAAAAGCAAATACACGTTAGGATCATTCTCTTGTGAACGCTGTTGTGTTCACTAATTGCAATAACTGTATGAAATTTATAGTTTTTGTTTTAAATCTTATTTGTGGCAATGGGGTAATTTAATCATGGCCGTTGTGGTCAAATAGTCTCGCGATTTTAATTCAATGCGGTTTTAGCTAATTAAATAAGCTATTAATATAATGACAAAAGTGGTCGAATATAATTTAGGATTGATGGCTTAAAACTGTCGATTAGTATCATTTTATTTTTGTATTATGTGATAAACGACGAATAAACAAAAACTGTAGATAGGCAAACTCATTTTCTTTTTATCATATTGAGGATAATGCTGAGTTGTTATGTTCGACAACTAATTCCATTTATTTGGTATTTATTATTGTTGAATGAATATATTTATATCCGATATATTCGAAAATAATCGAAGCTGAGTTTCTGGAAAAATGTGCGTCTGAGTTATATTTTGTTATATTATATCAACGCGTTTCTCAGTGGAACAATTTCAAAGGGGGCTCCCACATAATCATTTTACGAAGTAAAATTAAAACCCGATACCGACCCGATAAATAACTCATTTGTCATAATTACATTTCGCATTATAACGAATTGTAGAATTTCACTCGATTTTTGAATACTTTAAAAATGAACATCGTTCATCTACAATGATAATTATTAAATACCAAATTGTAGCTGAATTTATTATAGTAGATTATAAGAAATACAATTATTCTTTTACAATTTTTTTCCTTACCTAAGCTGATAGCCTTGAGAGTCTATTTCAGCGTTAGCTTAGTTAGTAGGTGAGCTCACGGGGCTCAAACCGGAGTGTGATGCTAACACTGACCCTAGCAAGAGCAGTGCTTCGTAGAATCTACCACCGGATTGGAAACGCGACCCACTGAGAAGATCCGGCGCGAAACTCAGTGGGCTGTGTCTGTGGGTTAATTTTTTACTTGACATGGGTAGACGATTTCAAACTTGCGCCTAATAGGATGACGATACCTAACTCTGCGGGACCTTAATACAGCGTTCTGTATTAAATAATTTACTAAAACTGAATCCATACTAACAAACCACTACTAACGAATTTGCTAGCTGTTCTTATTCGTTTGTAAGTCCATTGTACACGTGCAACTTAAGCAAAGTGAGATTGTAATGGGTAAAAGTTGATAACCTCACAATGCGGACATTGCATTACGACACTGCTCTCAGCAACATAATTCTATTCACTAATAACCTGGTACCGTTTGTTTACCATACAATACTCAGTTCCGTTTAATAACTAGAACGATTGACTTGAACGGTTCGTCATAGAATATTTGCGAATTTCATTATTAATAAAAATTTCAAGATATTTTTTTGTCAGAATAATGGATAGATTTCTTAGTACACTAACTAAATTATTTAGTAAATCTAATTTGGCATCGATGGTGTTTTGGATCGAATAAAATATGTCGCTTTTTGTTTTTAAATCGGCGAATGACGAAAGCGATATAGTATTTCCTTTAGTTTTCAAGAGTCATTGACATAATTAAAACAATTTTTACGGTTTAATCTCGAGTTTTTATTAAGTTCGTTATATTATTTTCGATGTTTTGAATACTTTATTTTATTTGTGATCACGGACGAGGGAAATGATGTAATTGAATTGAAGTGATAACTTCTTATGGGACGGTAAACCGATTCGTTACGTAACGCGTTACGGCGCCAGTCTGTCTAGCTTCTCTTTCTCTCACGCGTACGGCAGCGGTACTAAGAACTCGTGTAACTCTTAACTATGTATATATATATATCTTTAAATCTAGATAATAATAACGTACATACACAAAATTCTAACGTACATATTCAAGAATTGTAACTAAGAATAAAATATATTTTATAATAAAAAATATATATTATAGTATAGAAATAAATAACCTATCCTTACATTGTCTTATTAGTATACATAAAATTTAAGTAATAAACCTAAGCTTTTCTCAAGTTAAACAATTTCAATATTAAATAGTTCAACTTAGATTTTTTTACTGGTGGTAAGACCTCTTGTGAGTCCGCACGGGTAGGTACCACCACCCCGCCTATTTCTGCCGTGAAGCAGCAATGCGTTTCGGCTTGAAGGGTGGGGCAGCCGTTGTAACTATACTGAGACCTTAGAACTTATATCTCAAGGTGGGTGGCGCATTTACATTGTGGATGTCTATGGGCTCCAGTAATCACTTAACACCAGGTGGGCTGTGAGCTCGTCCACCCATCTAAGCAATAAAAAAAAAAGTTTAAGTTATCACTTCTGTAGGGCGTCCCGAGACGCACACGTTTTTTTTAACAGTTGTTAGCCACATAACACTTCTTCACTGGGCGATATGCGTTTCTATTTTACTGATGTTCACAAATAAGATCAATACGAAATATATTTTTCACATCACCTTTCTTCTTCTTGTCAGTCGGTACACTCCTGGCAAAATTTCGATTAAAATTCAAATCTCATTTCTGCAGCGAAGTCTATACGCATGTTGACTATCGATTATCGTGCGTGACTTTGTTGTCAACAGTTTCGATGCAGCAGTGGACAGTGCCCAACGAAACTTTCCACTTTTCTCTTACCGTAAATTATTTTTTCCTATTGTTTAACAAAGGTGTTTTCGTTTTCTTTCACTATAATATGCGAGCTGCATTTCAATTATTTAGAAGCGAATAATGCAGTTTCTTTATGTACGAAATATTATCCTCGGTTAAGGAAAGATACGCTAATGTATTCTAGAAGAAATGACATTGTTAATGCATTTATTTGGCTCGTCCAGAAGACGATTGTATTATCTTCGGTTAGGACCTCATGTGAGTCCGCACGGGTAGGTACCACCACCGCGCCTATTTCTGCCGTGAAGCAGTAATGCGTTTCGGCTTGAAGGGTGGGGCAGCCGTTGTAACTATACTGATACCTTACAACTTATATCTCAAGGTGGGTGGCGCATTTACGTTGTAAATGTCTATGGGCTCCAGTAACAATTTAACACCAGGTGGGCTGTGAGCTTGTCCACCCATCTAAGCAATAAAAAAAAGGAAAATAAGTTAGTGTATTCTAGAAGAAAGGACATTGTTAAGATTTGACACACGAATCGTAAACATATGCATTTATTTGGCTTAGCCAAAAGACGATTGGCTAATGGTTAAGCTTTTATTACATGACTTATATTCGTTCCAAGTCAGTCGCGCACGATATGATTGAAAGATGCGGCAAAAGAGCATCCGTTTTGTTGGATCATAATACAACGCAGCGCGGTGTTTTCCGAAGGTACATTTTTAATTACATTTTATTGTTCTTTTTTAGATCATGTATCTAGTTCTTCTTCCGAATAGATATTCTTGATTTGTTCTTAATAACCTAATAGCTTACAGTTGCCTTTGGTAGGAATATCGAATGATAAAGATTTAATATGTGATTAATTGATTTTTAACTTTGCATTAATTGTTATTAAATATTAATTGATTACGTTTAGAGAATATTAGATAAAAAGATGTGTGCTTTTGTTATTAACTAAAATAATATAAACTTTTCTTGTGTTCGTATTTAAAATATTTTATGCCTATTAAGGTGTGCATTTATTCGAAATTATCATTAAATTTGAATAAACAATAAAAAGGTAGTTTTTGTGGCTATTGACAGTAATAATTGTGTTTTTGATGACAAGACCCCAAGTCTAGACCACATGTCGCGAGTTAATGGATCAATGTCAAACCGGTTGCATGTTTAAAGGTGGTTACATAACTATAATTCTATTATTAAGCAATAAAAAATAATTGTACCGCCCACATTTCACGCTTGAGTTGTTATTGCAAAATTAACTATTTTGTAGGTTATTAGTTCATAATCGTTCGATTTAAAGGAACAGTTAGCAATTATTAATTAGTAAAGATTTGATGCCTTTAGGTAAGCTGAACTTTAAGCTAGGAGTGGGCCCGATTTTTAACCGACTTAAATAAATAAGGAGACTATGTGTGTTCATCAAAACATTTTTGATTTTAATGATTTTCTTTTTATTTCAAAGATTGTGCTTCTCATGTTGTCCCATTTAAACTTTATCAAGATTATAAACAGTAGTTTTTGGGTTATTTTTAATAAATCAATTAACTTCGACTACACTAGTGGTATTCTCATTTTATTTTGTTGAAGTTGACTGTCTTTTTTGTTAAAATTATGTTCATGATCAGAAAATCATAAATATTTAAATTTAACTCATTTAAAGGGAGTAAAATTTTAATAATGATAATTTATACCAAAAGTAACTTCATTATAAACAAATAAAATGTACAAATTTTCTATCTAATTTTCGCTCTCATCGTGACGGAATTACGAAAAATTCCTCTTTGCTACCTACCCACACATAAAATATTCAAATTTCTATTCATTTATATCTCTATATTGTCTCCTAGTAAGCTAGTACTTGTCTGTTTTACGAGTAACATATTTTATCACTAATCAACAAATTAAATGGATAATACTGCCTTACCTCATTGTTAGCGAGTGTAGCTCCGATCAGCAACGCGGCGACACACAACGCCGCCCGCCACCTTATCAACATCGTAAATCTGCAGGACAAAACATATTTCACTTTAGTTATTATACTCATAAACAGCTTACGAGAAAGCACGGGTACTTGAGATTTGAAACATTATTTCTTGTGTTCTGATTGATGATTATGATAGTGTTTTTAAATGAGAACTCAAAGGCTTAAAGTCTAGTCTCAAAGTGAAGAATTTCACATTGGAATGTATATTGTAACCATTTAGCATTAGGTACACCTTAGCGTTCACACTGAGGAAGCGATAGTCTCACCAGCTCTTCTAATGATAATAGTTTGTTAGGCTGTTGATCTGAAGATACTAGAGGGATGGTCAGAGTTGTTTCCTATCATACATCTCAAGCAGAAGCATTTTCTCATATAACTAACTCTTTAGTTCACATTACTCTTTTGTCCTAAATACTGGTGGTAAATGTGTACTCGCCCACGTGGGCTTGCACAACCATCTTTATTATTTCTGCCACGATCTCATCATAATGTTATACTACTATGAGCAACGCCATCTGTCTTCAGATAAAACGGATATCGAAACAATAGAAAGTCCTCGAATTTTCTAAAATATATCGAATGTTTCAGTTGTATTGAGCGTGTTCTAATGGCCCCGTGGATACTCTCAATATAGAAGTGCCTAGAACATTCGGGAATATTTTAGACTCGTCCTCTAGTCCTATGGAGAATTTTCTGGAAAATTGTAGACATTCGAAATGACTATAAAAGCGTGACATAGGCCACGTGAAGGCAGATCTGTTATAAGTGAAGCAATGAACAGACCACCTGAGGCGAAGCCAAAAAGTGAATTGTGATAGTCAAGTTTTTCTGAAGTGTCGTAAAAATTCAATTGAGTTTTAATTAGTATTTCGGCGAAGACTTTTCTTTGTCCTAAGCCTCAGCTCATCACACTATGATTCAGATTGATTTGTTTTTACAAAGCAATTGAGACTTCGATCGCATCTATTTGAAGTAATCCCTAAGCTAATAAATACTACCACGCAAGATTGAGGAGCATTAGCATTGATTAAAAAAACCAAGGTCGCATACATTTATTTCTTGTTAAAATACCGTTGTCATGTAAGATCTCCAAGCCGCTGCAATAAATTTCTTAATAAGCTGCTAGGCGCAAGAATTCGCAATTGCATTTCACATTATCATCATACATTTTGACTTTTACGAGAACTAAGGGTATAAGTCTAATTTCAATAGCATATACGTGAGAGGCGATATGGTACTTTCGGGCATGGGCGTAATGAACGAAACCTTCAATATTTATTTATTAATAGTAGGATAAAACCTATTGAAATAGAAGTTTCTAGAACGACGTAATAGATTTTGTTTGCTTTGTTACTATTAGACACGTCACGGGTAAAGTATCGAAAGTTTGCTTCTTTGCTTTCTCTATAAGTTTCAAAAGATTTAAGTGATAAAACACAGGATGTGGTTTTCGATTTTATTAGCACTATTAATTTTACTAATTAATATTTGGAGAATGTAAGGCGTGAAACCAGTCGTGTTGGTAAATTAATCGAAAAGCTCATTAAAATAAGTTCGAATTATGCAAAAAAAACACATTTCACTTAACTTTAGCTTGATTTTTTAATAAAAATAATGAAAATATTTTTACATTTTCCAATTGAACAACAATTTTATACAACATGTTTTAAAACTATATAGCTAACGTTTTCAAAATATCAATTCTTGGAATATCAAAAAAAAAGGTATACAAAACTTATTTGCCTCCCTTTCAGCAAAGTTTCCGTTGCGGTCAGAGAACTTGGGTGTTCACGGGGCCCTGTCGAATAGTTCGTGAAGTTACGACACAATGACGAACAAACAGTAGCGACGGACAAACGAGCCGCTTGCCTCCTAAACTATAGGAGCCTGACAGGAGCTCATGAAAATTTACAAAGGAACGTTTTTGTTTGAAGACAAGTTATAATATTGATTTGAAGTTTGGAGTTGGCTTCGATAACATTTATTGTTTTTGACATGTACTCAGATGAAACAGCGTTTATGATCCTGTTTATTTATAAGTGATAAAAAAAATATTGATATCCTTTTTAAAACCATTTTAAATCGTATGACAAACGTTTGTAATAAAATGTGTGTAATATTTGGTTTTGCAGCACTAGAACTTTTGTTTTATTTATTCGACACAAAAAAATATATATGGGCGATATACAGATCATAATAAGACGTTGAATAATCATGTAATTTGAATTTAAGATCCCCGCTAATGCATACTGTTGTTTTTTTATATAATCATGATTCATTATTTGGTAACCACGTGCATGATGACATAACAAAAACCGACAAAGAAAAATGAGATCCCTCTAGAGTACATAACGCAAATAATTAAATATATTTCAAAACGCAACAATAATTAAATGGCACATGCATATTTTGAATAATTATACACTTTCGTAGGTACGCATTCATACGCATACGCATTTTAACTATTATGTACAATGATTAGGAAATAAGTTTAATGTAATAAAGTAATTATAGTATTAACTAAAGATTTAATTAGATCGAGATCTAGATGTAAACAGAGTAAGAAATGAGAGATTTTTCGAAGAATCGTCACGAACAATTCTGTGTAATATACACCATCAATGTAATGACGAATTGCGACAGTACAGTTTGCAGTTAAAGAAGTGTGGGATTCGTAAAACGGAACTTATGAAGCCGGCTCCACATTCGCGGCGCGAATGTCCGCGAAGGGCGCGAACCGCGAGTGTGGATGGTTTCGCGACTTCGCGGTCGCGCTTCGCGGCGTTCCCCGTCCGGTGGCGGTTTTTTGGCCCGCGACAAAGGGCCTTTTTTTTTTTTATTTTTTTTTTTTTTTTTAACGCTGGGGAATCCATTTACGGATACCCGGTTGAGGGGGGTAACGAACCGGGTTATGTCGGACTCCGGCGCCTCCTGAGAGGAAGAAGGGGAGAAGAGAAGGGCCGAGGTCCTTCACCTCCCCCAATTTCTCACAGGAGACTACGCCTTAAAAAAGGCGCGCGAAGCACTTGCCCCGCAGAACGACTACCGACTAAACCCCATCGAGCTCCACCACACCGACTACACGAAACTTACGGTACCGCGATGCGCGCCGAAAGTCTCGCCTTAGGCGGTACCCGTACTAATGTTAAGACGGAATTTCATCCCCGGGAAAATCCCGTAGAACCTCGTCTCGGGCGACACACCGTGAGTGGCGCACAGGAGCCACCTTGCACCGCTTCACCACCGGACCAACAGTCGAGTGCCGGGCGCCCCCGCACCCGGCACTCGATAGTCCCTACGAGGGCTGAGCGGCGGCCTCTCGCACGCGCCGTCCACCCCGCCTTCTGCGCTGAGGAGCCGAAGAGGGATCCCATTCCCTTTCGCGCTCCTCAGCCTCACGAAGCGCCATGACCAAGTCACAGAACCCAGCCATGGCCTCCCACGAACTCCGGTCCTCTACCATACGGGCGACGATAGCCCTCAAAGAGAGGTCCTGCCCCAACACCGCGACGAGGTTTCGCCGCGGGTGCTCCCACCGTGGGCACGCTTCTAGCGCGTGCTGAGCGTCATCGTTCGGGTGCCCGCACTGGTGGCAGCCCGGATGTGGCTCCCTTCCGCAGACTCTCCACAGATACCTCCCGAAGCATCCATGCCCCGAAAGGACCTGGGTGAGGCGAAAGGAGAGCTCACCATGTCGCCGGTCGGGCCTGCGAAGCGCGAACGCGAAGGCATCCACACTCGGGTATGTTCGCAGTTGTGTACGAAACGCAGTGACAAGCGGATGTCATGAGTATCGAATGGAGTAACGATCGGCAACTAGCGTTCCTTGAATGTTGTCATGCTGAGCCCGTGCTTTGGCAAGCTCAATATAGAGATCATAAAAACAAAAATAAAGTACATGATGCATGGCTGAGAATTAGTGCAATCATGGAAATTCCTGTGCCATATTTAAAGAAGAAAAAGGATTCCTTAATGTCTAGCTACAGAACATATAGAAAAAAAGTTAAGGATTATTGCGGTTGATTTATGTCATCCACCACCTTCTTCTCCTCCATTTCTTTTTTTAATGTTTTTTGTTTTTATAAACGCATAATTGTAACACGCTAAGGCGCACAATGTTAGAGGAGCAGCAACTTCAACGTCCATTTCAGTCAAATGCGCGAACGTAAATGCGAAAGGTTGCATGTGTAGAAGTCTATGTTTTTCACGTCGTGTTCATGCGCGAATCGCAGCCGTGATTCGCGGCCGCGGTTCGCGGGCGAATGTAGAGCCCGTATGAAAAGAGTGTGGAACGGAGCGTTAAGATGTGAGTGAGAGAAGACTGTAAGAAAGGGAAAAGGAGAATGACAGAGAAAAGCAAGATGGCGAAGACGGCTGAATGAGCAAGGCGTAAAAAAGGTGGCAATTAATTTTTAATTATTATATTAGAGAAGATTTGAGAAGAGAACAATAAAAGTGCAACAGTAACATAGTTTTATTTTATGCGCCACGATCGCAATTCTACAGAAGAGGAAAAATTAATGTATTTGTGTGATGTTGCAAAATCTATGTTTCGTAAAGGCGCGAATTCTTATGCGCCAGAGGGCATTGCCAACAAAAAGCCTGTCTAACCTTTATGTCTGATGATGTCATGGTTTAAGTCCGGTTTGCGATATCTTATACACATAGAGAGGTACATACGAAATATTGTTACTCATATTAAAGCCTGGCGAATTTAATTTGAAATATTCTTCGTGAATACGTTACATTATTTATCAGTATAGATAAAGTTGATTGGTGGAAGTAATTTTATTGGAAACTAGCTAACCCGGCAGACTTCGTAGTGCCTCAATCGATAAGCAAAAGACCTAAACATAAAACAAACAAAAGGAATCCGTCCGAACGGGGACACATCAAAGGAAAAACAAAATTGTAATTTTTATTTAATTCCAAGCATTTTCATATTTATCTACCTTTTAAACCTTCTCTGGACTTCCTCAAATAATTCAAGACCAAAATTAGCCAAATCGGTCCAGCCGT